CCCATCAACTTTTAATGTCAATTTCTCCTGAGTTTTCTCATGGACGGAATCAAAAGCAGCGGCTAAGTCAACAAACCAGACGGCCATCAGTTGCTGTTAGCCGTGGCGGAATTCCAGAATACGTTCTAGTGTGAATATCTTGTCCATGCATCCACGCCCAGTCTTCAATCCTCCTTGGGTCGACTCCGCTCTAGGGCTACGTACAGAGTCTGATCGTCTGAGAATGACCATACTGAAGACCTTCACAGCAACGTTGATTAGACTTAGGCCGCGTTAGTTCTCGCAATTTGTCTTATCCACCTACTTGGAGCCAAGTAAAAAGATGCCCGAACTCCAGTCATTATGGACTACTTCATCCACATACGCTTGCTCATTTGCGTCATGGAGCCAGGACGCCGTAGTGTCGACAACAGGCTTTTAGATTTCAGCGGAAATGCCGTCCTTTCCAGATCCCTTGTTGTGCAGCCTGTGCATTGCATCGGTAACTTCTGCAAGAAGGGAAAGTGTCACACGACACTGCATAGGCTGGAAAGGGATGCAATTCTGCTGCGAAGGAGATTGAGGGTGTGATTGGTTACTCATAGAAGTTGAGAAGTTGCTAGACGTGCTCAGGCCGGCGATCGACCTTGGCTGTTTTTTTTTAACAATAAAGCCACCATTCACATTGTGAACAGAGTCATTAAGTGTAGACGGTTTACCACTTACTTGCTCGAGTCTCTTTGACGAATAAGGAAACTAAATGGTGTCCCGACCAAAATCATTGCCATGCTCAAGGCCTACTGCGCTCAACCACTGCCCGTCTAATTCCAGAGACACGTGTTTAGCATCATATATTTTTCCAAGGTTTATCTTTGATTGGTGCGCTTTTTCGTTGCGTGGGCTTCGATGACTTCTTGTGGGAAATCGTTTAACTTATGTAAAGTGGTTTTAGTCTTTTTCGTTGACGCACTATTGCACAGTGTTCGCTCCCATAAGCAACATCAACTCTAAATTCTGTCACGCATGGTAGCACTTCGTCTTTTCTGTCTGATTAGTGACTATAGAGAGTCAGTTTTCATAAAAGCAGTTTGTTGTTAAACCGTCTGCTCTGGCCATTCTAACTTTTTGTTGTCCTTTTCCCACCAATAGGCAGTTGGAGTTCGTGGGTTATTACTTTGGATGACCGCAAAAAGCACGATGATCGCTTTCAGTCCCTGCGGCCTATCAACGGTTATATTACGGGCGAACAGGCTCGTAACTTCTTTACTCAGTCAAAGTTGCCCAATGCCGTTCTGGCGCAAATCTGGTCATTGGCTGACCTCACCAATGATGGAAAATTGGATAAACGGGAATTTTCAATTGCAATGGCTCTAATTAAGAAGTGTTTGGAGGGCAATCAACTGCCCCCATCAATTCCTCCGGCCTTTCTTCAGGAGCCCATTTCTCTGTTTCTGGAACCGCAAAAGCCGCTAGCCACTGAAACGCCTACCTCCCAAGGTAATTTCTGAAAAAGAAAATCGTTTTTCTGTGTATTCTCGTTTATCCTCGTTGTAAGAACCTGCTACTTTGATTTCCATTTCAAGCTGCTGTACATTGGACTGTCTGGTATGCTGCTGGGAAGAACTTATGGGAGTACTTGACGAAAAGCCTGCATTTTTTAACGTATTCCATAGGTTATGTATGTCAGTGCGTCTTGTTCCAGATACTTGCAGATTTCGCAGACCACACTGCCGACGAACACTTCTTATCCAGAACTCTTGCTTCACCAAAGCCTTTCTAAGTCGTTTTATGAGGAGTCCGACTTGTATGCTTGACTCAGTGTCGACGAGCATGCGCTTATTACTGACCTCTATGGTTATTTTCGAAAATCTTATAGATGATTCATATTTTCATCAGACTTTGAGGTTATCGTTTAAATCTCCCAAAAATGCCATGCTATTGTGGCTCAGCTTATTTTCTATTTGTGACTACATGTCTAAATTAAGAATCCTAGAAGTTTTGGTTTCTACTCTTGCAACAAGCTTTTCACATGTCAAACGAAAAATTAATGAAAATAGTGCTGGTTGGAATTAATGTTTGCCTCCGTTTTGGGAGGTCTGTTCTTTCCCAACCTGCTGAATGTACTTGTACTTGTACCTGCTGAATGGTCCTTTATCGCATAACACTGGATCGAAACTGAGTTGTCAACATGCAGCTGTTTAACATATCTCCGTTTCCTCTGTTAACTTATCTGTTTTGCCAAGGTCTTTGGAGTCTTGCCCATTTTCAGCCTTTGCCTTCCGCGTTCGTTCTTAAACAGTTGTGATATGTGGGTAAATCTTGTGACAAAATGCATCCTGGGACGCGCTATGGAAATCTCAAGTTATTCGTAGCTGGCAGTGAATCCTACCTGCCATTAGCCATGCGTGACAGCACCTTCGTGTGATCTCATCCTATACCAGATCTCAGAAGGGGAGAATACCCCAGAACCTATCAGAAAAACTAACCTTCAGTGGAATATCTCACTGAACGCTGCATATTCTGAATTTCAACATATTCAACTTTGTTACCATATTGCTAAGACGCTAATCCTTGACGAGATATCCTATTTCATTCTTCTGGGTCTCCTAAACAAGCTTGTTTTGTTAAGGTCATATATTTCTCCGAACTGGACAAAGCTGTTAATATGTTGTAAAGGAACCATCTTGGGGCTCCTGAATTTGAAAATGACCAGTTTTCTTCTTAAACGTTCTTGCTCATCGAAATCCTACCTAACTTCCCAATTATCTCTGGAGAAGCCTTGCTTTCCCTCTAAAATGTCAAAAGTTGGTTCTACACATATGTCTGTATTACTCCTTCCGGAACTCCTTCAATTTCTCGCCGTGACTTTTGACCCCCTATACTAGAGGAAACTTTTCTAGAACTAATATCCGCGAGGAAAGATTGCTTAAGGCATCGTCTCTATGACCACGGGTGCTCGTATTTTTCGAAAGGACGCACGTTATACTTAAATTTCCCTACTCTAGAGTGAATTCCCCATCACGGCCGTGGAAACCCACTAGTTAAGTACTCTTCTTAAAAGTCGCTGTTTGAGAGACGACGTGCAACCTCTAAGTCCATAATCTACCTGGCTTTAGTGCGTGTACTTTTCGGGGTCACGTGGTTGATCAGGATGCGAATAATTAAGCTGAACACACATGACTTAATTGTCCCGGTCCTCGTATTTGCTGAGTCAACCT